TTCATTTTAATAAAATTATTATTTTTACAACGATTTCTTTTTGATATTGAAGTAAGTATATTAACACTCCAACATACTAGATAGTATAGATAACGAAATAAGGGTGTAAAAAATTGGGAAACTTGATTTACTTTTTTGAAAGGCACAAAAAATCAAAATATGTAATTCTTATATCTTTTGGTTTATGCACTTTTGACCTAAAGGAATCCGAAATAGTATTCTCCTGAGGAGACAAAGTATAAAAAAATAATTAATATACTTAACTATAAAGAATTTTTTTGATAAATATTTATTGTATGACTTAATTGATTACAATAAATTACAATTTTCATTTATCTAAATTCATACACTTCCGGAAAGAATTTTCTGGCATGTGTTCTAATTCAATAGATGATATAACTCTGATGAGCGAGTGGTAAATACTTCCACCCTGCCACAGATTTTTATAAGCAATAATAAATCCAGGCGAAGAGGCCCCATTTAATATCCTTTATCGTATGATCCGGCATCTAGGAAATGTTCTTTCCATCGCAATGAAATACAATAGTCCCTTTATTTCGCCAAATTTTTAAGTCAAAATTATCCCGAATTAAACGACTCTTCGTACTCAGAAAGGCGGCAAATTTGCTGCTGAAAAAAGAATACAAAATTAATTTATATAACGAAGGAAATAATTGTGACGAGCTCGAGTGTAGACTTTCTAATGATGTTTAATCTAAATTTCACCGTGTTTCGAAGAACAAGAATGAAGGGATCTCATCAAATTGGATGAGTCATAATGTTAAATATTGTGAAATATAGCTGTTTTCGATTCGCCATTTCTCTGCTCGCTCTGCTCTGTCAAAATTAAATGTAAGCAACAGACAAAGTTATCGAGTGGAATTCGTACATGGTCTGCGAAAAAAAGAGTTCTCCACTAAGGTTTGTATAAAAACAACAGCGCATACTAAAAAAGTATGTTATAAAAATAATATTATTAATTCGTAAATTATTAATTTGTTTATGTTATTATTTATTCTATTTCATAGCAGAAATGATACTCCAAATAAGGAAAGTTTGTAAACTCCTTTTGAACTTTTATTATTTAGCCGAAATATTGCAAACTAATATTAGGATGAAGAATTCATTAAAAATAATAAATGATATTTTTGTAGTTTGATGAAATTGTTATGTAGCAGCGCCGTAGTAGGCCTGCACGTTTGCTAAAAATTTCTCAATTAATAACAAATCTTCAACTTAATTAATTTTTTCCAGTTTCATTAATATTGTTAATCAGCTATAGTAAAGTATTGATTTTTATTTTAGTTAATTTTAACGAATATATTTTAATTATTTAAATAACAAGGCAAACATTCATACGACGCAATTGCGTTGTTTTGAATCAACTAACTTTCCATTGGCACAGCAAATGTTACATTTGGCACACAGCCTAAGAGACTTTTGTAGAAATTAATCAACATATTAAGCTGTCAACATTATACACTTTTTTTTAAAGGTTCACTTTAATTTCATATTTTTTCGCTTTTGGAACCATTAGTTTATTAATCATTGTATATCTTTTATAACTTTATTAATGTAAAATACATTACTTCAAATCAAAAAATAATATAAATTGTGCAATCAAATAACAAGCATTTTCAGTGTCTTCTACAATTGGTGCAAACTGTGACTGTGGACAAAGCTTGGTGATCCCTTATAATAGGTCAAGTTAAAAGTTCAGGTTCGGTTTTTAAATCTACAAGATGGCTTTATGTCCATAGTACTAGTGTTACGTGCCGCAATATGTCATAGCTATATACGGCGCTGAAAACAATGTTCATTTCGGCTAAAAAGTTTGGTCTTTGACAAGTCTTTCATTGATTGAACTAGTACGTGTTGAGAGCACACGTCAAAGATGAATGTTTTGTTGTTGTTGTTGTAGCGGCAGAATTTTGTCGAGTTGATCCGTTCCGGTTACGTAGATCCGAATGTTATGGAAACGGCAAAAAAAAAGATTGAGTACCCCGCCCTCTCCTCATATAACGGTTATGTTGAAAACTACTAAAACTTCGATAACTCACTGAATAAATGAGCCACAAGCATTAAATTTCACAATCAGGATGGCAGGGAAGGGCTTTGTGTGAGGCATTGTAAAAATTGGAAAACGGGCGTGGTACCGCTCATATTTAAGTGAAATCCCTTACCTCAAGAACTGACCGAAACCAAATTTGGTGTGTGATGTTATCCAATTATTGCCATTGTAGACTATGGAAATTAGCGAAATCGGTTGACAACCACGCCTACTTCCCATATAACAAACTTTTAATTCCATCTGATTCTTTCACTTTACAGTACGCAATCAATATACCTAATAAAAATATTTCAAACTTTCGGTTGACTTTATACCGCATAATAATATTGTATCTTCTTGCCTGCGGTTATAAATAATAGATACAATCCTTCCTACTTTTACTTATAATATATACGAAAATTCCGTATACCACTTTACCTTGTGAGAGTTTAAAACGTTCGGTTACACTCGAACATAGACCTTCCTTACTTGTTCAAATGTATTTTGATTGCATGCTTCCTCCAAAAATCTCCTCTGTGCAGAATGTTTCCATGCAGGGGAATATTCAGCGGCTCCACCATATTTCAAATCTATGGTTAAAATTCGGTGCTTGTGGTCACAAATCTGCATATATTGGTGTAGTAAAGAGAAATCTATTATTTTTCCAACAGATGGCGTTATTTATCTGTATCTCGCGTTGTATAAGTTGGATCGGGTTCCGCTAGATGGCGTTAGAAAGATGACGTTCCGTACTAAAAAAGTTTTTCTGACGGTTTTGTTTGAGCGCGCGTCAAAGATGGACACTAGCAAAGAGGAAATACGCTATATTTTACAACTTTTCTTCGATAAGGGCGAAAACAGAGGTCAGGTGGCTGAAAATGTGAATAGTTTATGGTCCTGATACTGTAACAGCTAATCACACGCAAGGCCAGGAAAGTTTTGCTGTATGTTTCGTGGTATTGGCAGGAAATTATCTACTATGAGCTGTTCCCATACGGCAAAACTCTTAACTCGAAACTGTACTGTCAACAATTGGACCATCTGAAGGAAGTAATCGCGCAGAACCGGCCAGCTTTGGCCAATAGAAGACGAAATGTGTCAAGGTCATAGAAGGCCAGCTATAGGCACTGGGGTCCACATATTTAGTACTTAGGGGCTTGAATAGTTTTGGTTCGATTTAGACAATTTTTAGTCACAAGGTGGCATACTTTAAACGTATTATTCACGCAAAGTTTTACCCCGATATAATCATTGTTGCTTGATATGTATAGTGGAAAGTGAAAGAATCAGATGGAATTGAAAATGGTGTTATATGGAAAATAGGCGTGGTTGTAGTCCAATTTCGCCCATTTTTGCACTATAACATAAAAATACGAAAAGAACGTTACGCACCGAATTTGGTTGAAATCGGTTAAACAGATCCCAAGATATTTGTTTTCACCTAACAGTGGGCGGTGCCACACCCACTGACTAATTTTGAACGCGGTTCCTATAAAGTCATCTCATACCATCCCAGAGATAAAATTTAATGTCTCTGGCGTGTTTAGTGCTTGATTTATCGCGCTCTTAGTAGTTTTTAACAGTACCGTTATATGGGGAGTGGGCGGAGTTGCCACCCTTTTTGTAGGTAGAGGTTCTAAAAACATTTGCTTCCAGTGAATTTTGTTATTATAGCATTAGCGGCTTAGGAGATATGCACATTAAACCCATTAGGTGCGGGACCAGGCCCACTTAAAAAAATTTTTTTAACTGCAGATGCCCCTCCCTATTGTGATCCTGTATACCAAATAAGAGTCTTGTATCTTGTTGTGGAGCTTAGTTATGGCAATTTATTTGTTTTTGATTAATGGCGTGTTGTGGGCGTGGCAGTAGTCCGATTACGCCCATCTGCAATACCAACCGTCTCACGGTACCAAGAAACATGTCTACCAAGTTTCATAAAGATATCTCAATTTTTACTCAAGTTAGAGCTTGCACGGACGGACGGACGGGCGGACGTACAGACAGTCCCCCGGATTTCAACTCGTCTCTTCATCCTGATTATTTATATATATATAACCCTATATCTAACTCGATTAGTTTTAGTTGATACAAACAACCGTTACGTGAACAAAACTATTATACTCTGTAACAACAGGTTGCGAGAGTATAACAATGTATATTCCTATTTTCATTTTTGTGATAACGGGATTTTGGTGTAAGAACAAGTAAACATAGGCTCCATTAAGTCTGCGTTCAGTTAGATTGAATTGGAAATACCGTTACTTCTCAAGAATTTTTTCCTTATTTTTGCGTAGATTCTATTGTGTTTTAATATAATAAGTCGTTTAAAGAGCTCGTGACGCGTTTTAATAATATTTAAAAAAATGGAAACCCAAGCAAAAGAAATAAGTCTGTCGGAAAGAAAAATTATCATTAAGTTGTGAAAAAATGGCGAAAGTTTCAGAAAAACTGGGAAAACTATTGGAAGATTCTTCTGTCCAGCGGGGTCGTAAACAATTAAAAAAAGCCGGAATTTTAACGTCAAAACCGCGATCTGGCCGGCCAAAGTCTTTACTATTTCCGCAGTATGCTTTGGGTCATTATCTTGTTGGAACCAAAACGTCGAAGATAATCCAAGATTCTCTGCACTTTGTTTCAAATTGTGTTTTAAAATGTTCAAATATCACTTATCTATTGTGGATTCAATAAATATAACTAGTTCTTTTATTTTTTTACATTTATTTTTGTCCCTCTGTATTAATTATACTATTTTTTTTGGCATTTTTTAGTTTTGTATTTATTTCTAATTCTCGTGTATATTTCCCATCTTTCACTGGTATTTTCAAACTTTGCAGCTTGATATGCGTTAATCTGTTTGTTTTAAGTATTTTTAAATTTTGGTTAAATCACCTATTGGTCTTACCATACAACTTTTTCTGATATTTTTCTAACTTTAAAATTTTTTTAGAGTCCTAAATTTCAAAAAGGATGCTTGTAAGTTATGCGATACCAGCACTTCCTTCCAATTCATCTCAAGATGGTATCCGAGAAACAATGTTATATAGTGGATCAAAGTTTAAAGGATTTCAAAAGTCTCAAGGAAATTCATATGACGTGGAAGTTGTTCTGCAGGTACTTTAAATTTAAAATTTACAAGGTACAATATTTAAAAAGGCTTGAAATAACCACTGGAAATTGAGTTATAAACCATAATAAGTTGTATCAGTGTACTTCTAATAAGTAGATGCCTGTTCAAAAAATATTACTTTTTATATTTTAGCATATCGATTTGCAAAATTCTTTTTTATGTGGATATTTAAAAATTAATGGACTGACCTTCGAATTTCCAACTCTTACAACATTTTTTGATGGAGAAATTATATCGAAGAAATATCCATTTTTAACCAGAAAATGGGAAGCAGATGAGGATGTTGACAAAGGGCATTGGGTAAGAATGATTAAGAGATTCAATTTTTTCAGTAAACATATGTTTTTACTTGTATAATGGACATATGTACATATACCCGACTGAAGTACGAACACTTATAGGAGATTATTTTTAAATATGATTGAATAAAATTGTATCCAATATATTAGGGATCACCAAACTTTGTCCGCACTTAAAGATTGCACAATTATAAAAGAAGCTGAAAATGCTAGTTTATTTGGTTGCACAATTTATATTATTTTTCGAATTGAGTTAATGTGATTTTACTTAATAAAGTTCTAAAGATATCCATTTTTGTTAAAAATTATCGGAATAAAGTTCGCTGAATGTAGTGTAGGCACGTGCGGAACCGCGTTGTGACGAAGTAGTAGCGCACGGGAGCTGTCACATCGAATTAATGTATAAGCGAACGATTCAATCCTTTTTGTTGGTTGGTGGTGTGAGGCGTCCTCGTGTATGTGTTCTCAGGTGTAGTTTGTACTATTAGTGTGTACTATTAAGGTATGGCAATAATGTACCCGTCATTAGTGTATACAAGTATATGCGAGGGGAGGCTTAGTTCATTTAACCATCCTGGGCCCCCTAGGCGAATATTTTGCCTAGTATTACCTATATTGGCTATATTATGCATTTCGGCGTGCTGCTAATGGAGTAGAAGAGGTCGCAAATATTAGCTGTAAGCAGCAATTTTGGTTTTAATCGATTTGTACAATATTTTGGTATAGGCTTGAGATATGCAACTTTATTGTGACCGTTTGATTTTCAATATTTGGCAATACAATAAGTAGTGATTGTATATACGATTTTTTCTTTTATCGATTTGTTATGCGGATTGTTTATGATTGCCTTTTCTGTATTATCGGCAATTATTTGCAATTTCTTTACTATCGGCTTATGAAGGAATGCGACTCCACGCCTGTTTCAGATATGCTCAGAATGGGTTCTCCTTTGCCCTGGGGTAGGTGATTGGCCGTGAATTGAGAACGGCTTCATTTCGAGTTAGTAACGTGGTAAATTCGTCATAGTTAGATTTGTAAGCTCCTTTTTTTGACGTGGGATTTGAAGCTTTTTGCTTTTACAACTGATTCCCATAAACCACCCCTATGAGGGGCGCTTAGAAAGATGCGACGCTTGCTTTTTGCAAGTCTAGGAGCATCGCTGTATCACCGTTTGAGTATGGCGTTCTCTTATCTTTATTTTTGTGTTGTTCTATAAATTTGAAAATATATTATACTACTCTGAGGGGCTCGGGAGAACGGTAAAATCGTTCAAGGATGTTAGTATCATCCAATATTGTATACTGTGTAGATTTTTCTAGGGCAATTATGTCCCGCATGGACGAGTGTACGTGTGATGGAATATATGTGTGTTACCAGGCTAGAGGAATTTCGGAATCGGAGCAGCGAGATAGTTTATATTTTACCAGGTTGAAATACGTATGTACTGTGAATACTTATTTGGCAATACCACATTGCTGATGATTTTTGAATGAGGATTTTCAACTTGAGTTGGTAATATGAAAAGGGTTTCTTTAACTTGTCCACTTAGTATCCAACCAAAAATAATGTTTTGAGCCAAAAGTGTGTTTGAAATTTTTCTAGATCTATTTGAGCGGGTGTGTTGCATTTTAGATCTGCTAATGTTAGGTGTGAAACCTCTTCCCAATGTTTGCTATTTATATGATAGCTTGGAAGCATGTTTGTAAGTTGCAGTAAGACTTTAGCTTCTGCTTGAATGAGCTTATCCGCTTTGGTGGAAATTAGGATAATGGGGCAGATTTTATTTGAGTTTTGAACTACTCTTTCGCCTATTCCCATTATTTCAAAATTGGCAAATTTTGTTGGCAATTTAAGCATATTTTGTGCCCTAGATGCTATGAAAGATCGTTGTGATCCTTGGTCTATTAAGGCCCTAAGTTTGAACAGTTCTCCTCGGTGCTCGATGGAGACGACTGTTGTGAGTACTACCCTACTTAGAATTTCGCTGTGTTTTTAATGCCTTTGAGAAGCATGGTGCTTCTTGGCAATTTTCGAGATTTGCTTTTGCAATTAAACTGTGGTTCTTTTCTTATAAGCGCTGCTTTGGGGTGAGCTGGCATATGTGCTGTAATGAAGCATTGAGTGGTGTCTTATGATAATAGAAGCAATTGAATTTGCTTTTACAATTTTTATAAGAATGCGCATGTGAGAAGTAGTTTGTACAAACTCTTTTTGTTCCCCCCTGTACATAATTCGCATGACGTTTGTTTAGTCTGTTCAGATGTGAACGACTGAGTTTTGTAAAAGCTTCGACATAATTTGTTTTTGCTACTAGCTTGGGGTCTATTGAATCTTCTTTTTAGGTCGTGTTGAACAATTTTTGTTTTAATTCGTTTTTTTTATCTACCCTTTCAGTGATTTCGTACTGTGTAGTTAGAAAATATTTCATTTGTTGCCACGTTGGGCATTTTTTTTTCGAGATGAGAGCTCCTACAAAAGTAACGATTTTTCTGGTAAAGCCGCGGTGCATATATTTACCAGTATAAAACCGACAAACAATTTGAAACAGGGGATAGTTGTTTGATAAAGTTTATTAGTGTCGTTATTTGTTTATCGACCAATATTCTTTCATTTTCATATCTAGCTTTTAGAGCTTCCTAAGCCAAATTAAAATTATCGTCATTTAGTACGAACTGTTTGACTATTACGTCTGTTTGACCTTTTGTTTTGTATCGGAGGTGATACAATTTCTGTGCTAGTGATAATTTGGTATGGTTGATGTAAACGGCTGTAAACATATCCCTCGGGGTGGATGCCAGAACTTGCCTCTTGATTTTGCACTTGTGGCAGCTCACTTAATTTTGATTTCAAGTACCGATTCAGAGTAATCTCATATCTGTGAAGATAAAATCTAGTTCAGTATCTTGTTAATCTGTTCTGAAATAAATTTAGTATTCTGTTTTGAGCGAAAAGCTCCTGCAGGTGTAGTTTTTTTTTGTCGGTATTAACTATTTTTGTTATATTGTGTTGTTTTTGTTATATATGTGTCAAATTTGACTAAAATTTTCTTAGTATAAACTGATTTAAACGCAGCGATAAATGATAATTAATATAGTATATACGAGTTATTTTTCGGATTAACATTTACTTGCGAAATCAATTTTTTTAATTTGGATTTGTTTTTTTTTAATATTTTGTTGTGATTGTAATTTTAATTTTCTTAATTTATTTTATTAAGAACCGCACTTTAAGTTTAACAATACTTTTTATGTCCTTATGTTGAGGTATTTAGGTACATCCTAATACACGGACTTGTATGTATATATATATATATATATGTGCTTGTGCAATTGAGAGCTCGTTGAAAAGAACAATTCGCTTTTTTTTAGTACGCAATCCTGCTTGTTTGTTGCAAGGGGTATTGCGGGATATTTGCCAATATGGACTACACTGCATATACGTATAATGTTCAAATTACTTCTTTTTGTACCCGCGCTTTTTGTTTTTTGCTTTTTAATTGGCAAAAACATCGAATTTAATAAAAATTTAATTAAAAACAAACAAATTATTCAATATTCGGAGTCATAATATTAGTAACATTATTATTATTTTGGTAAATAGCTATCCCATCTTTTGGCACAGTATCTCGTTTAAATTAAAAAATACAATGGTAATAATTTCCACTTATCTTGGATGATGATTTCGACATCAACTTCGCTGGTAAAAAATCAGAGCGGTTGACAACTTTTCTTTCGAAAAATATGCCAACAGAGAGATTTGTGGCTCCTGTTGAAGATCACTAACAAAAATTGGAAAACAATGAAAATGAAAGAGAACGCGAAATTGAAATTCGCGCCTTGTTCTGTTATACTCTCGCAACCTGTTACTACAGAGCATTATAGTTTTGTTCACCTAACGGTTGTTTGTATTACTAAAACTAATCGAGTTAGATATAAGGCTATATGTTTATATTAGGTAAAGTAAAAAGTTCGTTCGTTTGAGTCACAATCCGCTTCAGAAACGGGTTGATTTTGTTGCGATTCAGCAGCGATTCGCAGATGGAAATTCGGTCCATCATGTTTTTTTGCGTTAGTTCGTGTGGCACCCAAACATCGAGCTTCTTTTTGAATCCAAGGTTATGCAAATGGTTCCAAACGGTCTTCTGGCTTCTTTAGTTGCTCAGCAATTAAATAAGTGCTCACGTGATGGTCTGCTTCCGCTATTTCCATGATTTTATCGCAATTTTCGACGACAAGTCTCCCGACGCGTGGTGCATCTTTGACATCGAAATTACCGGAACGGTACCTAGCAAACCACTTTTGTGCTACACGTTCGTTTACAGTATCGGGCCCATAAACTAAATTAACTTTTTCAGCCGCTGGCTGCTTTTTCGCCTTGATCGAAGAAAAATTGTAAAATATAGCGAATTTTCTCTATGCTGGTGTCCATCTTTGACGTGTGCTCTCAACGTACTGAGTCAATCAATTGAAAGACTGTCAAAGACAAACTTTTAGCGCGAATGAACATGTTTTCAGCGCCGTATAGTATGACATGATGCGGCACGTAACACTAGTACTATGGACAATAAAGCCATCTTTTAGATAAAAACCGAACCTGAACTTTTTACTTGACCTATATAAGGGATCACCAAGCTTTGTCCACAGTCACAGTTTGCACAATTGTAGAAGACACTGAAAATGCTTGTTTATTTGGTTGCACAATTTATATTATTTTTTGATTTGAGTTAATGTGATTTTACATAATAAAGTTATAAAGATATACAATGATTAATAACTAATGGTTCCAAAAGCGAAAAAATATGAAATTAAAGTGACCTTTTAAAAAAAAAAGTGTAATTGTTGACAGCTTAATATTTGATTAAGTTTCTACAAAGTCTCTTAGGCTGTGTGCCAAATGGTAACATTTTGCTGTGCCAAATGGAAAGTAGTTGAAATTCAAAACAAACGCAATTGCGTCGTATGAATGTTTGCCTTGTTATTTAAATAATTAAATATATTCGTAAAATTAACTAAATAAAAATCAAATACTTTACTTGCTGATAACAATATTAATGAAACTGGAAAAAATTAATTAAGTTGAAGATTTGTTATTAATTGAGAAATTTAGGCAACGTGCAGGCCTACTACGGCGCTAGTACATAACAATTTTTTCATCAACTACAAAAATATCATTTTTATTATTTTTACTGAATTCTTTCATCCTAATATTAGTTTGCAATATTTCGGCTAAATAATAAAAGTTCAAAAGGAGTTTACAACTTTCCTTATTTGGAGTATCATTTCTGTATGAAATAGAATAAATAATAACATAAACAAATTAATAATTACGAATTAATAATATATTTTATAACATACTTTTTATGTATGCGGTGTTTTATACAACCTTAGTGGAGAAACTCTTTTTTTCGCAGACTCTATTGTACGAATTCCACTCGATAACTTTGTTGTTGCTTTACATTTAATTTTTTTGACAGAGCAGAAGCGAGCAGAGAAATGGCGAATCGAAAACAGCTAATATTTCACAATATTTAACATATGACTCATCCAATTTGATGAGATCCTCATTCTTGTTCTTCGAAACACGGTGAAATTTAGATTAAACATCATTAGAAAAGTCTACACTCGAGCTCGTCACAATTATTTCCTTTCGTTATATAAATTAATTTTGTATTCTTTTTTCAGAGCAAATTTGCCGCCTTTTCTGAGTACGAAGAGTCGTTTAATTCGGATAATTTTGACTTTAAAAATTTGGCGAATAGCGACTATGTATTCATGCGATGGAAAGAACATTTCCTAGTGCCGGATCATACGATAAAGGATATAAATGGGGCCTCTTTCGCTGGATTTTATTATATTTGCTTTATAAAATCTAGTGGCAGGGTGGAAGGTTATTATTACCATCGCTCATCAGAGTTATATCAATCTATTGAATTAGAACACATGCCAGAAAATTCTTCCGAAGTGTATGAATTTAGATAAAGTGAAAATTGTAATTTATTTGTTATCATTAAGTCATACAATAAATATTTATCAAAAAAATTCTTTATAGTTAAGTATATTAATTATTTTTTATACTTTGTCTCCTCAGAGAATACTATTTCGGATTCCTTTAGTCAAAAGTGCATAAAACAAAAGATATAAGAATCATATTTTTGATTTATTTTGTGCCTTTCAAAAAAGTAAATCAAGTTTCCCAATTTTTTTACACCCTTATTTCGTTATCTATACTATCGTTAGTAATGTTGGAGTGTTAATATACTTATCTTCAATATCAAAAAGAAATCGTGTAAAAATAATAATTTTATTAAATATGAATAGCTTTAAAGTCAAAATTTGAGATGTCTTTCACTGTCTAACATTTGCCGCAATTTTACAAAAAATTAATTCTAACTTCTTCGTTGCTGATTCTGCTCACGTAATGCTATGAAGGAAAGGTTTCAGCTTTCTTGATCCATGAGGCTTAATGAAGAATTGAGGTGTTTAAAAAATGTTAGCCGACGAGTATATCTGCGAAAATTTCATCGTCGTCGAATTGAAAGATTTAACTTTTAGATTCTAGAAGATTAGTTCTGTCGAATCTACTTCAAATCGAGCAGAGCGTACTTGTAATTCAGTTATTTTTAACATATAATGAATTCATAAATGAATTATATGATATGAACCACAAGCCACTGTACTGTAGCCATTAACATGCATCCAATTCACGTCTGTGTTTTATCGTCATTACTCGGTTGCTTGGTTGGGATGTATTTATAAATACAGTATGCAAAATCCATATTCGTACCCCACTACTTTTACTAAACTAACAGAACTCACTCTTAATTTAATTGAAAGATTCTCCTTAAAAATTTATCAATAAACTAAACAATAGAAGCACTTTTCTAAATGCATAAAACTTTTTTAAATTTAAAACACGGCAGTTAGTTTATGGCAACCATGACGAAATTTATGAGCAAAATTCGTATTCGTACAGCGTCCAATAACAAAGCTGGAATTGTACCGTTACTTTGAAATTCGTCAATTTTCGATGAGAAGTGTCTAATGTTTTCTCTATTTCATCAAATGTGCTACTTTTCGTGTAAAAGAAGTTTAAAGTTTAAAAAATGGGACGCAAATCAAGGGAGTTGACAAATGAAATAAGAAATTTAGTTATAAATTTACATATAGATGGAAAATCTCTTCGAGAAACCGGAAAAACTGTGAAACGGAGTTCCACTATTCAATCGATTATTAAGATATATAAAAATAGCGGAAGAATCAATAAAAAGATTATAAATCAATATCACTTTTGGGAAAGAGTTATTTTCAGTGATGAGTCGAAATTCAACTTGAAGATGTCAGATGAAAGAGTTAAAATATGGAGGGAGGCAAATACCAGCTTGTATAAACAAAATCTTATGCCCACGTTTAAACACGGTGTTTTATCTGCGATGGTTTGGGGATGTGTCAGTGCTTCGGGAATAGAAAATTTGCACTTTATTGATGGAATCATGAATGCTAAGAAGTATATGGATATATTAACAAGAAATCTACACCAACGTGCTAAAAATTGGGTTTAGGGGATCGTTTCATATTCCAGCAGGATAATGACCCCAAACATACGGCATTAGATACAAGACTTTGGATATTATATAACTGCCCAAAATACTTGAAAATGCCTCCTCAGAGCCTAATTGAGAAGTTATGGTCTGTTTTGAAAACTTCACCAAACAATTATACTATTAGAAACATTCCGAACCTAAAACGAGCTTTACGAAAAGAATGGGAAAAGATAACATCAAAACTCACAAAAGAAATTGGTGAAATCGATGTCACGCTGCTTATATGTTGTTTCAAAACAAAGGGGATATCCAAAAAAATAATAATTTTATTATAATAGTTGTACTGTAAATAGTGTACTGTACTGTAATAGTGTACTGTAAATAGTGTACGAATATGAATTTTGCTGTATAAAATATTTTAAATATTCTTAAAAATACGCTATTTTTTTGGAAAAACAGGTTTCTTTATTAAGTTGGAAAATATATACGTTTATACTTGAAATTACATATAAGTTTACTAATTTATTTTGATTATAATTTTTTTATCTGCAAAATTGGTATAAAAGATGTGGTGTACGAATATGATATATTTTTGGAAAAATAAGTTTCTTTAATAAGTTGGAAAATATATACGTTAATACTTGAAATTGCATATAAGTTTAATAATATAATAGGTGTACGAATATGGATTTTGCATACTGTATTTCTCCATACCTCTCTAAATGTAGTCCCAAAATATTATAAGCCATTTCTTGAGCCGATATTTAAAATTCCTTTAAAACTTTGTTTCTGTTGTGCTTGAGTTTTCTTTTTATAAATAAATTTGTAGCATTAAATTACTCCATGTTAATAATTCCGATGTTCCTCTATTTGATTTTGTTTATATTCTTAGGGCTGTATAATTGGTTTGTAAGACCAAATATTTAAACTCAATAAATTTTCGAATTGTCTTACGAGCTGGTGGGGGACGGAAAAGACCTTCATTAAGCTGAGAAATATTTCATTCTAACTTTATTTTATTAAATTAATCTCTTATATACTATTTACAAATCTTACTATCTAATTATTATATATGTATATATATGTGTATATTGCATGCACACCACATGGGGTTGTTTTTAAATACACAACTCAATACATGTGTGTGTGTGTCCATATGTATGTAGCACATTGTTTATGCTGCATGATATGGAAGTGTTTTCAAGTGCACATGTGCACTTGTAATCAATTGTCTAAATGTATATCTTAGGTTACAAATTATCATATGAATGCATATATATTTATGTGTTTGTTTATGTATGTATGTACATTAAATATATATGAACACACATATTTATGATTAGTGGACTGTATTTATTCTTATATTATATTCCTACTATGTAGAATAATAAAACTAAATTTATTGCAACACACCGTCTAAGTGGGGCCCTTTTGGTCCTAATGCGCATGTTCATTTTTGAACAGGGCCGTTTTCTCAATGTCTGGTTAGCAACCATCTGCCAGATAAGTTCTGGTTAACTTAACCGAAAGGAGTATTGGTTAGTTAACGCCGCATTGCCACAGACAATGTCTATTGCTAACCATCTGTCAAATACATTGCCATGGAGGTTGGCAATGCCTTGTGTGAGCATTGTTATCATGAAAAAATCATTATCGAAATGAATAATACAATAACTAAATATAATATAAGCAATGATATTTACATATGCAATTATTAAAATATTTACCATACATTAACGTACGTATGTACATATTGTAACGGATTTCTCGATAAATCGTCTACCTATAATTCACTCTTGAGTTCGATCACTGGATTGTTAAATAAAAGTCCCAATTTAATGTCTATACACTTATCTTTATTTATAATTCCAACAACCTAACGCTTTATCACTTATTATCCAAGGTTACAACTTCTTGCTTATGTCTCAATTGCTCTTTACACGCCAACACTCATGGATAAAATCAGGGATAATGGGATGCCCAACTCTTTCCAGTGTGAGAGCGCCTCAAAATTAGCGTTTTTTATAACATTTTCCAATGTAGCCAGATCGGACAAAATAATAATTTTTGGGAATTTAAATTAAAACACCCATCATTTATTAAGATTAAATATTATTATACATGGATCCGTTAAACATATCCAGAAACTTTTTATACTCTTTTTTTGTGATTTTGTAATATATTAAACAATTGATTTTTGAACTTTCAATACGTAATCAAAAGAATAAATGTATTAGCTCTCAATTAATAAATGTTTATAAAAATTTTCAATTGAAAATGAATACCACTTAACATGACATCACAAAAGATATCATCACATACATTTAAATTTCGCGTTTTCTTTCATTTTCATTGTTTTCCAATTTTTGTTAGTTATCTTCAACAGCAGCACAAATCTCTCTGTTTACATATTTCTGTAGGATTTTAATCTGGCCGTCCGTCTTTTTCCTTTTGCCAAATGGAAGACCTACTGAACTTTGACAGGTAGGTTTTGACGTTTATCAATTGTGCTCGCATTTCCAGTGAGAGACGAGTTGGTCATCTCTTTATCTCTGGATAAAATCATAGATAATAGGATGCCCAACTGTTACCAGTGTGAGAGTGCCTCAAAATTAGCGTTTTTTACAACATTTTCCATTGTAGCCAGATCGGAAAAAATAATAATTTTTGGGCATGTAAATTAAAATACCCAATTTGCTGTTTCCACACTACCCAGGAGGTATGCAAAATGGCGCGTTACCGAAGTTATTTTAGGGTGCTCGGTTCCTCAGTAGGCCTATATCATCCATTATAAACTTATTTGTTTAAAAAAACAAAAGATAACAAGATAAGATGACAAAAAAATTAACTTCATATCACAGAATAAATATAATATTTACAAATATACATATATACAAATGCCTACATTTAAACCCCGACTTCTAATTTTACTTAAAAAAGATCACATTATAATTTTAGAGCCTCTTTGTTCTAGCCTATCTGTTTAAAAAATTTTGTATGATATAATATTGTATGGTAAGTTCACTTATTGTAATCACTAAAAAATAAAGATAAAAACCTATAGGTGTGAAACGCACATAATTTTATTTTTAAAATTAGGGACAGAAAGTGTTTTATTTAAAAATTTAATTACAAAATAAATTTTTATTCCAATGAACTAATATGAATAACTATTTTCGGGTCACAATTTTCACAACACAAAAAGAGCCTAACATCTTTTATTTCATTAAAAAGAATAAAAATTTTGTTTCTAAAACTTTTACAAATGCAACAAACTCCTGAGGTGGCTTCAATAAATTGCATTTGTTTATTTGATTTTGATAAATGAAGATGAATTCGTCCGAAGGAATTTCATCTCCTAAATAAGGTAATGGAAGGGAGCATGAGTGCATTTTGAAAATTTTTAAATAAAGATAGTCGCAAAAGAAACTAAAAGCATTTTCTTTTAAAAAGTGAATTTCTAAAGTACTATCTAAAGTAATTGATATAATGAGGTAGTG